AAAAATATTATAAAGAGATATAACTATAGAGAGATCTAATTATATTTATATTATATTTTATTAAATAATTTTGCTTTTATATTCATAATAAAAAAGAGCTATTAAATAATTTTACTTTTATATTTCTATATATAATATAAAAGAGTTATTAAATTTATTTTGAATTTTAAAAGAATTAGAATTTTAACTTTTTTAAGTTTTATTAAATCAGAATTTTAAATATTAAAATATAGAAATAAATCTAAATTATGTATTTAATATTATTTTATAATTATTATTAAATTAATTATTAATAAACTTTATATTAAAATTAAATTAAATTCTAAAAAATATTAATATCTAAATATATTATATTATTATTTTTTATTATTTAATATATAATTATATTTTTATTATACTTGAAATTCTATAATTAAATTATAATTTATAATAGTTAATATTATATAAATATAATTTTTTTCTAGAACTTCTAATAATATAAATTTTATAGTTAATTATAATAATAAAATCAAAATAAACTTACAAAACTTATTTATTAAATAATCTTTAATCTCAAAATATATCCAGATTAATATTATATAATAAGTAAAAAGCAAATAATATATAAGAAAATTATTAAATTTGTAACTAATAAAAGATTTATAGTCTGAAAATATAAGAAATTAAAATTATCAATAATAATAAATATTTTAAAGAGTTTAATAAAGTTAATGAGATATTTATAATCAAGATAATAGTATAGATATTAATTTTAAAATACAAAAATATTAAATAATTTGTCTATTAAATTATTAAAAAAGATATAAAAAATAAATAGTAATTTAGTCTTAGAAAAATAATAAAAATATTAATTATTATTTTGTAACTTTATTAATTAATTACTTTATAACTTTATGAATTATTGATTTATTTATAGTATAAACTATTTATTATAATATATATTATATAATTTGATAATAAATATACTATAAAGCAAGCTTTCTTTTTAGTGAATTTTTCTTTATAATATAAAAAATAATAGATTTTTCGTCTATATTATAAAAAAAGCACTATATATATATATATATAAAACTTTAAAAATTACTAATATATACTATTATATATTTCATAAGCATCTCGAAAAACCATATAAATTATTTATCTTACATATAATTAATATCTAATCTATTCTATACCTTCTATAATTGGCTGTTAATTCTTTTTTGTGTTAATTCTGTCATAATTCTTGACACTTATCATGAAATATATCAGATTATTCATACTTAAAGCTTTTACAAATTCTTATAAAGTTATTTTCTTGTTAGATTATATTAAAAAGTATAAATTACTAGTATTTAATTAAATACAAATAATACAGATCAAGTTCTTTAACTCAAAAAGCAAATATATAATATTTATCTTTGATAAGCTAGCAATAGTTATTATAGGACAGTATCTTTGTAAAGTGTTTTCAATTTGGACTTGATTGTTTGAAAATGAGATTTTCTTTGATGTCAAAGATAAATTTGCTAAAAATAATATTATTAATATAGGGATCAATAACAAATTTATTAAATTAAAAAATAATATATATATATTTAAAGTTTTTTTCTAATATTATGAAGAGAATTTGAGCCAGATGGCATTTCTAATAACATATTTTCAAAATAATATTATGCATACATACTGTAAATATAGAATATAATATATAATAGACTAAATACATATTTATAGGATGTTTGGTAGATAGTTGGAGCTTTGTTTGATATTTTTAATAAACATTATCATATTAGTTTTTTAAATATAGCAAAAAATTTTTATTGTCAAGTTCTTATAGCGGAGCAGGAAGTAATGAAGCAACAGAAGAAAAAAACTTCTTCAATATTTGTGTTTTTTTAATAATAATTTATAAAGTTCAAAGTTTAAAATGTGTGTTATTAAAACAAACACATAAATTTAATCTGATCTGATTAAACAAGTTTATCTTTGCATCTCTGATGTATCCCATGAAGTTTCTGACACGTTCGTAATCATTGCGTATGTATTTCATCCGTTACATAATTTCTGACGCATTCCGGACAGAAGCTTTTTGAGTTCCTTATGCATCCTGACAGCCCGTGAAGTTCCTGATCATTGCGTATGTATGTAATTTCTTACGCATTCTGGGCAGAGTTCCTTAAGCATCTCTGGCATTCATCCCATGAAGTTCTTAATACGTTTGTAATTATTGCGTATGACTCCGTAAACTCCCGTATGCTTCACATAAAATTCTGATAAATTTTTCCCGTAGGGTCAGTTAAGATCCAGCCAGCTAATTTAAGCTTGTGAGCATTTTTCAACCGGAGCTTTGTTACAAAAATTCTACTAAAAAACATCGAACAGTAAATTAGCAAAAATTTTTATTTCGCTTGAAAATTCCTTCTTGTAAATATGCACTTATTGTGTCTACCCATTTTCATGCACTGCTCTATCGATCACCACATTTTTAAATTTGAATTTTGCTGATATTAAGTAAAACAATTTCAAGTTCTGTCAATACATATACAAATGAGATTCCATACATCAGCAACCACAGCAAAAAATGACATTTTGTAACGATTCGCCTAATTAGTTGGTGCATCTACAATTAATTTGCTTCAGTTCTTCTCGATGAGTATTGTAATTTAAATCAACTGTAATGAATTTTTCTATTATATGTATTTTGTTAAGTCTTCCTCATTGAACGAGATTACTGATTTCTAAACATATTGAAATAATCTTTCAGCATTACTAACGATGCAAATTTCTTTAGGTTCAATATATTTTTTAACATGTCAAGTTTAAATGAGACGAGTTTCACTTTTTACGAAAAATAATCACATTAGAATGATACCAAATAATCAGTCAAAATCACCAAAAGATCCTACATGTATTTTCAAATTTTCTATAATTTTTATACATATAAAGAATAATTGAGAATTAAAGCGGTCAACATTAAATAATACATGTAATAACAAAATAATGCGTATATTGTAAATTTTTAAATTAAGTTCGAAAAATCGAAATAAAATACATGTTTCATGTAACGGCAACAAAAGATTATCGTTATTGGTAAAACTCCGAAGCCACATGACCGTAATGTCACCGTGATCAAAGTTTGTACCATATTAATGGAAAAAATGATTTGATTTCTACACATGCATTAGGATGGTCGAACCACCACTTAGTAATTTTAACATTCCAATTGTCGGAGATACTCTAAAATTCGTATCATCTCCAGCTCTTTGGTCTCGCGAGTTATCGAAACAAGGAGATGTAGTTAAAGCATATATTTATGGTTTAAATGGACTAAAATCTACTACAGTCTATCATTTATCGGGTACTGAAGGACTAAAAGCTTTTTACGATGAAAAAAACGCTGCACGTGGATTAATTGCTACACCACCAGATCCATATGTATTTGATAATTCACTATTTGTTGTGCCAAAATTGAATTTGGAAGCGCATAAGATAAGAAAAGGTGGAACAATAATGAGAATTAATTATTTTCATTATAAGATTATTAACTTTACCACCATTATATACTAGGGATATTATTGCAGGTCGTGCATTCGCCTGAAAGTATTAATCGCTTCATCGAGACTGTTGACTCACTGAGCCAAAATTTTATCGATTCATTATCAGCCAAAATCAAAGATGGAAAACCATCCAAAATTCCATTAAATACCACTATACGACATTTTACGGCGAGATTCACTGCAAAATATATATGGAGTTATGACGATATCGATGCTGTATTCATACGCAAGCAGTATGAAGCTATTAACGACATCTCATGTACATAAAGTTTATTTATTTTCTTAATTTGGAATCCAAAAAATTAAATTATTCGATGTTTTTATAGCGGCTCCATTGAAGCTGCCATTTTTTGCATATAATGACGGGATAAAAATTGCAAAGTGGCTTCGTGAATTTTCATATTCACGTTTAGAAGAGCATCGTCTAGAACCTGACAAATATACCGATACTATGAGTCAATTAATGAATTCGGTGCCAAGATTAACTGACGAAGAGCTTATTTTAGAAATCAATCATTTGATTTTTGCGATTAATGGTCTTTCGTCTACTACTACTGGCGTTATTATTAAGTTATTGCAACATAAAAATACGGGTACGATACTTCCCATCCATTTAACATTGTGTTTGACTTTATTAACACGCATGCTTTTTTTACGTAGAAATTTATGAAAGAGTAACTGCGGAAATTGCGAATAATTCCGAACTATTAGACAACAAAAAATTAATTAACGGGAAAACTATTGAAGAAAAGTTTCCGTATCTCTTAAACGTTGTCAGAGAAGCTATACGATTTAACCCTGTTGCGCCAATGCAATTCGGTATTTTGAAGTTTCTTTTAATCATATATCATTACGCTAATAATTGACATCCGATTTTAGCAAATTCTGTTAGGGAATTCCAAGTAGAAGGATACAAGATACCAAAAGATGCTGTATTAATCGGTGCTTTATATGGAAATGGTAAATTTCAAAACACGTATAAAATCAAAGTCATTTCTAGGAAGTGGAAATAATGAAAAATTTGATATTATTTTTTACAAGGTTTCAATCCAAAATTATACCCAGATCCAGAAGTATTTCGTCCTGAACGTTTCGAACACGAAATAGCGAATACCACTAATGGATACGAATACGCCCCATTCGGAGCCGGTGAAATATCAACGTCACATCGATGGTACATATTTAAATTTTATTATTATTCGTTTCTGTTAATTGAAATAACCTTGCTATTTGCTATTTTTTGTAGTGCTGGTCAACCAGCAGCATTGAGTTACTGCGTATTCATTGTTGCTCGTTTATTGGCGACATTTGATATTTCCCTTATTGATCCAAATCAAGATTTCATTTGGTCCACTGTATTTCCTAGACCCGTTAATGAATGTCCAGTTGAGATAAGGTTAAAGTCTTGATCAGATTAGTATCGGTATACATTTAAAATTAAATAAACTCGGCTGTCACTATAAACCGATGGAATCGTTTTCTACATGCTCATTGCCATTTTTTATAATAACATGTAAAGATTAATTAGAATAAGTAAATGTACATGCTTAATATAACAAGTTCCCCGTGGTATTTTTATACAAATTGCCAGGCCCAAAATTTTGGTAATTCAATCTATGAATACAGAAATATAAATGCATATATAAAGAAATGACAAATATTAGTGCCAACAGGATTTGAGCTGGTAGTGGTTCAAAGCGAGAACAAATGATACAGCAATAACTAAAAGAGAGGTTTCGACGACATTATTACAGTATATTATTTTTCGTGTAAAGATCGCTAATCCCGTAATCGCTGAAACCGAAAATAAAGTAACTCGCGAAAGAATCGAAATGTGAAAAATTTTACGAAAAAAATTCTAGTGCTTCTAACATCGATTATATGTATCTGGTTCCTATACTCATTTTAAAGCTAATAATCTAGAGAACGCCCTAAAAAATATGTTGATATTGCTATTCTAAAGAAATTAAATGATCTACATGAATACATGTATTTTTAATTAGTGAAATTTTAAATCCAAACAGTATCAAAAAGTATTGACCTAATAAAAAATGTGCTTGTTGAAACTTTCTACATGTACAGTAGTGGTCAAAAGTATCCTACCCCATGTAACTTTTTAGATTGAAGATTAATTGTACTTGAAATTTTTAGCATAGATAGTATAATATAAATTTATATCCTATGTATTTCTTTTATAATTTAATAATTACTATAACAAATTGAAATGAGTGCTGAATTTTAAAAGTCAATTTTTTACAAAAATAAAAAATATTAATCAAATACAATAAAAAATAATTAATAATTTTTGATTAAAATTTCTTAAAATTTAATATATTAAAATTTAAGTATTTTTAATAATAGTAACAAAAATTTTAACATGATTTAATAATATAATTATTGAGAAATTTAAATTTATGAAATTTTATTATATATATATGGTCCAGTGCAAAAAGATTGGTATATTAAATAAATTTTAATAAATTATTTTTTCAAGATAAAATTTTAATTCTATCTTATTTAATTAAGTTTATTAGATATTGGGATTTATTTAAATGTAAAAATTTTTATTATATATCTTTAATAAAAAAAATTTTACTGATATAAACTTTTTTGAATTATTATTTCTTAAATTTTACTATAAAAAATTTGATTAAAATTAATATAAAAATTATATAGTAAATAATTTAATTACTAAACTTTGAATCTTAATATCTTTAT